GGCGTCTCGATAGTCCGAAGGTTCATTGGTTCGAAGGTTCATTGGTCCGAAAAGTGGTAACATTTTCATCGATTTTTTAATCAAGGGTTCATTGGTCCGAAGGTTCTATAGTGAATATTCGGACCAATGAACCTTCGGACTATTGAACCTTCGGACTATTGCTACGGCACAATAGAAGAAATACTGGTAATTTCACGTTGGATACAAGAGGAGGCGTGTTTATCTGTTCAACTGATTGCATTCATCGAGAGTCCCGACGGATTTGGATCGATCTACGTAGAACGATATTTTCATTGGGAATGAACCAAAGGCTGGGCCATGCATACTTACCTGCTGACCAAGGGGTGAATATTGTCACCCGATATTAATTTGAGTGGTATTTTTCTGACTTAATCTTTTTTTCTTTCTGACACATTAGTAAATTTAGTAATCATGAATGTCCAATGAAAAATGTTCGTCTCATTCATCCCCCCTCCCGCACATTACTTACTAGAAAATGCTTTAGTTTGCCTCTTTTCGTTATCAGATACTTGCAGGTACAGATCTACGATGTCCCGGATGTTGTCAGGGTCAAAGGTCTCCTTGTGCTTCTCCACCTGCTCTCTGACAAAATCTCTAATGTCGTTTTGGATGCGTATCATGTCTTCTCCCTGGTGAAAGAAATGACGCGTACATTAGTGGCCCTAGGAGTCTCCAAAGTAGTTAAAGGGATAATAACTCTTCGTTTCGGCCCAAAAATGAATTTTCCTGGAGTGAACATCAATTTTCCAATACTTACCAATGGTTAATGAATCCATTTTTACATTCAAAGTTAGTCCCTGGTTTATTTCTAAAAAGTTTGGTTTTTTAGTTAAAATCTCTTAAGAGATTTTAACAGAGTATAGCCACCAATGGAGGTCACGTGGTCTAAAGAGAAGCTCAGATATAAGAATAATAGCTATAATTGCCATTTTTGTAGTAAAACAGAATATATTATATTTCTATGAGTTATTCACAATGTTTTTATTGTGAAATTTAGATCTCATACGAAGAGTTATTATCTCTTTAAGCTTTGGAGGTCCCAAAATTATACCATTTTTGAAGAACTCAGTACCCCAGACAAATACCGGTAGATGTAATGTATGGGCGCGTTCCCAATGAACTAACGTTGTGAGTAGATCGATCCAACTTCACGTTGACTCTCGTTGAATGCAACAGGTCAAGAAGTTATAAAGAGATTTATAACTTCTTGTACAGGTTAAGTAAATGAGGGAATTAACTGTCGTGTGCATTTGGTCGCACACAAAACGAAGATTAAAAGCCACACGACAGTTAATCGCTCGCATTCGCATATTAGCATCGATATACGTAGAAAGATAGTTTCATTGGGAACGCGCCCTAATTCACCAAGTCTGTTTAATGCACGTATTAAAAATAAGCCCCATCCTTAAATGGACCAAAAAAGATACTGGGTCCATGTACAAGTTTATTTCTAAAGGCACACCATGTCATCAAGTATTTTACTATGGCACAACCTCTTTTAAAATTTATATACGTACACGTATCGTGCGGAACATGTGTTCATTACAAAGACTTTAAAGTTTAGGCTACCTGTGATGACGGCAGTATGAATCTCAAAATTGGAAAAGCGTTTTCTGGAAGCGCGAGAGCATTGGTCCGAAAGAACCTCGCCAGTGAGTCCAACAGTTTTACAAACTGCTTATCTGTGTACTGGAATCTGGAAAACAACGCATGAACTCATGACTGGAATTCAGCCTAGTAACAAGTTCTAGTACGTGTAGGATGCTGTTGAAGTATTCAACCAAGAAACCAAGAACCCAGGCGTACAGGAGCATTAGGGTTCATCATTTCGTGCTCACATGTAAAGACAACTAACAGACAAAGGACTACGCGTATCCTCCCCCCCCCCCAACCACTACCTGTCCCCTTGAAATCATCCGTGTCCCCTACAGCTCGTTTGTGCCCCTTTTAGATCCATTATGCCCCTCAGTGCTCCCCTATGCCCCATATAACTTCCCTATTACCCATATGCTCCCCTATGTCCCATATAACTTCCCTATTCCCCATATGCTCCCCTATGTCCCATATAACTTCCATATTCCCATATGCTCCCCTATGCCCCATATAACTTCCCTATTCCCATATGCTCCCCTATGTCTCATATAACTTCCCTATTCCCCATATGCTCCCCTATGTCCCATATAACTTCCCTATTCCCCATATGCTCCCCTGTGCCCCATATAACTTCCCTATTACCCATATGCTCCCGTATGTCCCATATAACTTCCCTATTACCCATATGCTCCCCTATGTCCCATATAACTTCCCTATTCCCCATATGCTCCCCTATGTCCCATAACTTCTCTATTAGCCTTATGCTCCCCTATGCCCCATATAACTCCCCTATTCCTCTATTGCTAGCTAGTTCCTCTAGCTGTCCCCAATGGCTATACCCTGCCCCTTATACCAGTAGCTCCCATCTACACCTTAACCCCCCCCCCCCCCCACATAGTTCCCTTAAGATGTAGTCCTTACGTACCCCGTCCATATACATGTAGTCCCTTGCCCCCTTTAGCTCCCTTTCTCCCTAACCCCCCTCCCCCCTCAAAGCTCCACTTTACCGCTTGGAAAATGTAAACATCAAGTATTTGCTTGTAGTATTAGGTTGTGTTGGAATGCAACACACGCACACACAAACACATACATACATTAGATATATCTACTTTTCCAGTATATTCCACATATCCGAAACACAACATATTATGAGTGACTTTAGATTTTTTAAAAAGAATTATGAATCATAAAACACTTAGGACTAGTCCATATCCTCTTCTATGCATACAAAGTTGCCCTTTTGTAAACACTGGTCTGCCCAGTGTGTTTATATTTAGTTATTACTTTATTAACTTGGGGGCAGAGGTAAAATATCGTATGCACCGCAGCGCTTGATCAGTTCGCTCTAACATTTTTCGACAACCGATAGGGTGCAAAAGCTTGTTCGATCCGCTTTCACGAGCCAAATGCACTTAAGAAGTTGGTTTTAAGAGTACATGGTTTTTGAAGAGGCCAAACGCATTTTAACCTACAAACATGAGGCATAACCTTCCAAACCTTTAAAAACCGTCACCAAACGAATAACCTTTTTATCATCTATACACAAGTGACATAGAAACCTGACGAAAAATGACTTAAATTAAAATTTTAATACTGTTATAGTCTAAAGTTTTGCCACACCTATAGTAAAAAGTACGATTGAGTATCGTATATGAAATCGAATGCACGCACAACTTTGAGCATTTAACCTCACAATGTTTCCAGCGTATAAAAAATGAACATATGAAGCAGCCTATGAAATTGTTTTTAAACATGTTCAAAACAATTAATCTGACTTCGAGTGTACGAACGTACACCAGCGTATGCCTGCATACTCGAGACGTATACGGGGCAAGTCTAACGAACCCCTTGCGTTTGTCTGGGTATGGACAATTTTTCTCAAGCGTTAGTACTACATTTGTAGAAACGCTAGGTGTAACAGGGCCTCAGGTGTGACAGTAAGCCTACCTCTAGCTGGGGCCTCGGATGTCAACGCATGACCTACCTGTCTCCGAACGTAATAGAGCAGATAATGTTGGACACTGCGGACATTAACGTTCTTTTCAAATTAACACTCTGAATGGGTTGTGCTTTCGGCAGGGAGTCAAGTACTTCAAAGATGGCCTGGCACTCGTCCAGTATGCGTTCTTCCAGTGTTTTCTTTCCCACTCCGAAATCGCGAAGGGCTACGGCTATCATTTTACGCAGGTCGTACCAAGAGGGGCCTTCGTTCAAAATTAATCCTTAAAAAGAAGTTATATGTGACGATATATATGTAGTTATATGCGGTAAAAGTCATACAGGGCCGCAGCCAGGGGTTGAAGAACTTGTGGTTATAATATAGAACTGGTTGTATTTTCTTTTATATTTATAGGGGTTTGACTTAAATATAATACCTTGAATACTTGTAATGTGCTAATTCCATCTTTGATTACCTAATAAGATCAATATTGAAATACAGTAGACCTAGAACGACACTCATGTTCAATGGTAAATAAAAAAAAGTCTCCCAAGGGACTTCTTCTTAACCATACCAACTAACCTTTCTTTCCTATCGCCTTCTTCACGAAATAAATTACATCGTGAGGTCTGCCAATGAATAGTTCGGCCTTCTCGGAGAACGCCTCGTGAATGGCATCATAGCCGTTTATAATCACCATGTTCAATACCCCCAGCCGGAGTGAGAATACTGGCCCGTACTTCTGGGATATCCTCATGAATTCTTTGGCCAGCATTTTGGCCCCGGCCACAATGGGGAGGTTCCCTATTAGGGGCCATCTCCACGGCCCTGGTGGATATCTGTGGGGCTTTCTCTGAGCAACCAGGAATAGAAAAATGATCAGAAATACTAACACTGTGGGCACGTCCAGATAGCTCAGCAACAGTTGTGTGATGCTCATTTTAGGGTGCGTTCCCTGTACAGTATCCTACTGGGTAGGGTTCGGTGGGAGCCTAGTCGTAACTTCAGCTGCAACTTTAGGGCTTTTCACCCTTAGTCCCTGATCACAATCTGAATTTTCGTGCCTATGAGCTTGGTAGCAGACCTCTCCTTAGTGATGAAGAGAGTGACCCTACACTGCGTCAAGGTTTTACAGTTAGGTAACGGTGCGTCCCAAATATTGACCTTATTATTATATAGCGTATTCTGTGTGTGTGTGTTGACTCTTACAGTGTACCTAGGATCTAAAATAAGATTCTGATCCCAGAGTGTACGTTGCAAAACATATTGTTTACATGACCTCAGTCTGACGGGTTCAAAATGGAGTACTAACGGGGAAGAATTTGCTAGAATTTGTGCATGTGCAATGACTTGTGAAAGTTGAGACGTAGTTTTCAGTTTACTCAAAGGTAAATAAACTGACATGCCGCACATGTACGTGTCACTTATTCCAGACAGTCCTGTAATTGTTCAAGGCTTATTATGCATATTAGGGCTTAACGATATACACCGTAGTGTACGCGTTTGTAATTATCCCGAAAAACATCCTGAAAAGCTACAGGTACTTCATGTGGCCTTTCCTAATTAAGAACTTTAATAATTACAGAATCCCTAAACTAAAAGTACCTGGTGTCGATAAAGTTCCTTTTGAAATTTACCGGAAGACCCCGCATCCCACAGCAATGGCACGTGACTGATTATAGAGGAAAATTGCTTTCCGCAAAAATAAAAAAAAAACATTCTTACTGTTGTATGCCGTAAAGGTCACCTGTCATATGTCAAAAGATAATTCAGAGAGGTTCACGTACATGTATTGTAGTACCGTACGGTACTACCTATGAACGACAGGCTCTGTTTGAGGCTGGACAACCGACAATCGGACATGGTGAATGTACATGTATATCAAGTAGGGAAAGCCCGATATATAGCTTCTTTTAATACTACTGTTTGGCATATTGATTATATGCGAATAGGCTAAAAAAACTAAAATATGATGTAGGGTTCATATGAAAAGTGCTTTCAAGCAAAATCTTCTTTCTAAAAAAATATTATTCATGAAATTCTGTACCAGAATAACTTAATTACTCACAATTTCTATACTATACAAATGGAATTTAGTTTTCTACAGTTGCCCCAGTACTGCTGCATCAAACATCAAAGAATTAAAACCTGTGCGACGTTTCGTTTTTCTGCGGGGAATAAAAAAGGAATTAAAACGTGTTTTGGGTTTTTTAAATCTTTATTTTACTATCAAGCAGGTGACGATAGACAAAAACGTTGAACTACATGTATACACAACACGCGTGTCAATTGACAGCAAAATACTCAAATCAAAATGTAAGAATTAACAACAAATAGAAAAAATATAGTAATGTGGTGCACTTTTCATTGTTATTTCCGGTGTCTCTTACTTCAACTTCTAAAAGCTGCGCAATGTATTTAAAGGTGTACATTTCTGCAGAAAATAGTTGTAAATAATTCAACGGGAATTGACAATGTGGCTGAAGCTGGTCCTGTTTGTTCTCTAAAGTCAGGTTACGTTAAATCAGCCACCGTCGAAAAACAGTAGCGAATTTGTCTTCCTCTCCCGTCTGCGGAGGAATGGAAAATACCAAAAACCGACATTGTGCAAAGTAAAGCAAAGTAACACTTCTATGGTACATATAAAATGGCAAATGGCACATTTCTCATGGAATGGACGTCTTAAGAAAAAATGAAGTTTGTAAAATACAAACGATCACAGACTATAAATAAAGACGGACAAAATCTTTTTGGCAAAATAGGTGTACGTGTTAAGTACAGACTAAGCCGTGCAAGAAAAGCTTACTGTTGCAGTGGCAAAACAAGCATCAAGGGGTACATAATAGCCGCATTCAACAATGTATAACTCAATCAAAAGTCAATAGCCATCTTGGTAGTAGTGAGCATATGTCAAATCATGGTGTAAAAATTAAATATAAACAAAACCCTCGTGTGATTATAAATTACTAATAAGTGGATAAAAGTACATGCTTTAATCAAAAACAAAAATTGTGCTATGGTATATTCACATTACAGAGATCTTAAAACGCAACAGAAGTGTATGAAAATGTGTTTGGACGGTAGTCAAGAGAAAAAAATTGTTATGGCATATTTAATTGGCAAAAAACGGGGACGGATTCTTTCTAAGACACCTGTGCCATGGCATATTTGAGTTGGTGAAAACTTTGAGATACACAAAAATATCACAATACATTCAAAACTGCTTTCAAAAATCAATGAAACAGGAGAGCAAGCTGTTGGTTCTTCTACGTGCAAAAAATCATTTTAAATTCGATTAAAAGCGAATGGACGAAAGTGGAGCAAGTAAAGAATGCTGCATTGTACCAAACAGAATCTAATGGAAGGGCCATTTCCTGTTATTCTAGACACCAGACTAGAAGACTGTGGACGGAAAAACAGCAATACATACAGTACCAATATCACAGTGTAGCAAAAAGGATCGTTACTTTGTGAATCAAAAATCTTGGTTAAATATATCAAATCATATTATATCATATCACAGAAAAATCACGGATCAGTACTTAATTTACAAATGCCATCTCATAATTCAAAAGACTGATTTGAGACCAAATTGTGTAATAAATCAGTTCAGAGATATTGTCCCTTCAAGATATTATATGACAATTCTTAGCAAATTTCATCATCACCAGGATCAAATTAGAACATAACTCCCTATTACAAAACAGCGTTTCTATAGGACAACATGTCAATCAATTAATTGAAAAATACCGAATACAACAGTCTTTATCAAAGAAATCATAGTTCCAATGCTTCAAAAAGGGGATGGCAATCAATAAGTTTCATCTGGTTCATTGGGCATGGTAATGCTGGCAGGCGTGGACGACCTGGTGCTGTCAGAAGCATTGGGACCAGCGCTGCCACTGATGCTGCTGCCACGGCTCTGTCTTCCGCTGGAAGGTACCATAAGGTTGGCGGCGCTGGAATCCCTGCTGATGTTGGTGATGTCATCCTTGATCTCCAGTGACAGCGGAGTGTGGACGACGCGAGTGACCACAAGACTGTCCTTGCGTTCAATGTCGCCGTTGTACGGTTTCTTGTCTTTGCCTTTGTCCCATTGCGTAGCCATTGGAGGAACCCCAGTGATCAAAGTTTGGTTGTACTTCTGGAAGTCCGGATTTGAATGATGCACACGCATTTTTTCTGAAAAAAACAATACAGTTTAATTAGTCAAACCGAAAATACAACATTTAACCAAAGGTGATAAAAGAAAGCATACAGTCTAAGCAAATCTAAATTTAATGCCTTCGGCTTTGGCATTAGTGTCGAACATTTATAATTTTAATAATTTTAATTTTAATTTTAAAAACCACGAAGAAAACATATCCTTGCTTTTGAGTGGGTGGAGTTGGCTGGAGGGTAACGTTGAGGGGACGTACCAAAATTAAACTCGGCCAAGGTAGAGCACATATCATAAACAATAACCATCTAACCTGGTGTGTCCGGATATGGCAGTCCATTAGGAAAAAATAGTCTGCACTCCATTAATTTGTACAGGTCACAATCATCCCATATACATATATACTAACCCCAGTAATCTGACTAACCCTAACCTGTACTAATCATATCGGTATATGGTACCCCAGACTTCGATTCCTAGGATTATTATTCTTGTTACCCCAGTGTACCACGAAAATCTGACCCCCCTGAAAGGTGACTTCCCGGTTCCCAGATTCCCCAGTAAAAATTTAATGATGAAATTTTGACTCCCCCAACAAAACTTCTTAAATTTAATTTTATTTGAGTATATGACTTTTATCATGTAATATACATAATGGAGGATACATTGGCAATTTTTGTTAAGGTTGCAGGTTTTGTTAGGTTGCAGGTTAGGTTTTTCATGAGAAAATATAAAAAATTTTTGACTCCCCTATGAAAAAGCTATTTGTTTGATATTTGGGTAAGGGTTAGGTTTAGGGTTTGGGTTAGGGTTAGTGTTAGGAGTCAAGATTTCATGGAGGGGAGTCAGATTTTCATTAAGAAATTCTGACTCCGGGAGTCTGATTTTCTTCATGTTACACCCGCAAATTATACCTTTGTGGTACTTGAACTTCCATGTGAGCAGTCCGACCAGCAGAATGGCCAGAAGAACCGGAATGACCACAATGAGCACAATGGCCCAAACTGGAAGGGGTCTACCTGTAGCAGTTTCCTGGAACAAATGCACAGGTATAATATTTTTCAATGAATACTAGTATGGAATTCAAAAGTTCTACAACAGTTTTAGATTTTAGTCTGAAGTTTTAACTGAGAATACAATAATATTAAGTATGCTCAGGCTGGCATATAATTATTATGCATTTTTAAAAATGCAATTATAGGTTTACCTATTAATAGTTTTAATCTATTAATCATCATTATTTCAAAGCATACAAACCGTAGGGGTCTACATACATGTACTGGTATATACTAGTATTTCACTTACCACTGAAGGTGGACCATCCAATCCATAGTATCTGACAGAGTCCACGTACATCACATCAGAACTGGTCATACTCTCACTGCCCAAGGTCAAGGTCAGTCCATTCTTCAGACTGTCCCACAGGCTGACCAGGGTGGAGTCGACATCAGCTGCCCCACCGGTCATCACAAAACTGGTGATAATGCTTCCTGTTGAGGAGTAAGGTGTAAAGGGTCACAACTGTGGAATTCAACTCAAAGTATCATGATGGATTGGTAGTAAATGATTGAGTTTAATTTACATTGTATGTAAAAAATTTTTAAGGCTTGAAGTTGCTGTTGTTATTGAAACATCTTGTGTTGTGCTTTCAGTGAAGACTGTCTTTTGTGAGGACGGCTGTGTAGACAGGCAGCCCATATACTCTGTACTGGTTTACCCTTTACTCACATCAGGTAAGTAACCAATAATCTGGGAAGTACAATGTACTTAAGTAATAAAAATTAAGTAAGTAAGGAATAAGATTTGCAATAAAAATTAAGTTTTTAAGAAATTAGAGTGGCATCTCTTCTGGTACAACATTTGGTTCTAGTACAATTGTAAAAATTACACTTTTCTAACCATAGTACAATAGTTTGAGTTGCAGTTAAAATCTTTTCCATGTTCTGGCAGTTGGTAAGAATCTTCCTTTTTTATACACTGAATTCAAAAGACTACCTGATCTATTAGTATCAGTGACTGGACTGGTCAACCCCTTCCATGGCCAGTCAAGAACAATACTCACCACTGGTGATATTAAAGTCAGACAGGATGACCCTAGGGCAGTTGGTCATAATGTGATTCCACACCAGGCCCTGAACCTGTGTCTCCTTCCCGGCGGCCATGTTGTCGTAGTCACCATTCCAGGTAATGGACACACTCCTGTTCACATCCTCACTTGGCATGGAATAGTTGCTAGGATACACGATCACTGCTTGACTGACGGCTGTCAAATCAAAGTCAGCAGGAGCAGACCACACACGGAATGACACGAAGGCGTTGACTGGACATTGGCTGGTGGTAGTCAGAATGATATCGTCCATCTGGGTTTGGCCATTATCTGAGGCATTAAACTTGCTCTGTGTGGTTCCAGAAAGTGTGGCTGGGAATGTGGTCGGCATGTGGATGGAGGCTTGCGCCTGCCATGTATGACCCTGGAGAATAGTAGCGCAGTTTGATATAACCAATATGTAAACATGTCTATCAGAATATCAGTAGCTGGGATGGAGCTACCAATGTTTTTCGTTTAGCCAAATTACTACTCAAATTTAACTTAAACAAGTCAAATCAACACTATTTTGTTTAACCAATTTAAGTCAGTTTTAGCATCAGGCTAAATTGGCAATTGTTAGTGCTACCCCAGAGCAGGTCCTCTATGGTATCACAAGTGTCTCCCCCTCCTGAAATGGTCTAAGGCTTCGTTCACATGGAAAGTCTATTTTCTAAATTCTATTTTCTATTCGCGGTATGTTTAGTGATCACTGTCTGTGCCCTGAATGTCCCGCGGCGTAATTACTGGCAGCGCGAACCAGTTACTATAAGTTACTATAAGTAACTGGCTCGCGCTGCCAGTAATTACGCCGCGGGATATTCAGGGCACAGACAGTGATCATAAGATACCGCGAATAGAAAATAGATTTTTAGAAAATAGACTTTCCATGTGAACGAAGCCTAAATCTGCAATTTCAAATCACAAATGATCTTGCCCTGGATGGATAAGGTTATTATTTGACTGACTTCCAGTTAAGTGGTCATGCAGGCAACACCTCCCCTGACAACCAGGAAATGCATAAAGAGAGACAACCAGTTAAAGGGATAATAACTCTTTGTTTTGGCCAAAAAATGAATTTTCCTGGAGTAAACAACAATTTTCCCATTCTTACCAATGGTTACGTAATGAATCCATTTTTACATTCAAAGTTAGTCCCTGTTTTTTTTTTCTAAGAAGTTTGGTTTTTTATTAAAATCACTTAAGAGATTATAACAGCTAGAGTATAGCCATCAATGGAGGTCACGTGGTCTGAAGACAAGCTCAGATATCAGAATAATACTTGAGTAGCTATAACTGCTGTTTTTGTCGTAAAACAGAATATATTATATTTCTTGAGTTATTCACAATGTTTTTATTGTGAAATATAGACCTCATATGAAGAGTTATTATCCCTTTAACTAAGACCATGTAAGATCATTTGTGATCAGAAATTGTAGATTTAGATCGTTCAGGTGCACTTTACCAGAATATTAGCTACTAGAATGTTATCTACAAATAACTAACTTTTATCAATTTGATATTTTAATTACAATTAGGAAGTAAATGGAACCATCATGGCAGTTCATCCAATATTATATATCAGTTACCTTCCAGGCAATGTCAGTGACCACCTCATCTGTGACATTATCTCTAATGTCCACTGTAAATGACCCTGGCTGACCGCTAGTGGTGTTAGAAGACTGAGCTGACACTGCTGCCTTCAGTGGACGCTCGGCCACGGAGAAGGTAGCAGAGGAGATGGTGTACCTGATGGAGAAAGAATATGACATATAGAACAAGTATGTGCCCATAGTAATAATAATGGTAGTCCCTAGATTCAAAGAAGACTTTTTGTGAGTTACCAGTGTCTATGAGCCCCCATGTGGCTAAATAGTCCAAATCTGGATTTACAACCTCTATGACATATCTGAAAATATCAGAATCTACACAGACACTAAAGGGCATGGAGACTATTCTGTGCCAGCACTCTCTTGCTACCCTCTTTTCTCACACCTTTCATTTTTGAAAGACATTTGTGTGTTCAATACATGTACAGGCAAGTGCCACCAATCTTGGTCTCTATCTGTAGTGGTTCAATAAGGTCACAAATGTGAACTGACTTCCATGCTTGCCAAAGGAATGTACTGGCTTACCTGTTTGCCACAGGTGTGTAATGAGTTACCTGCTTGCCACAGGTGTGTAATGACTTACCTGCTTGCCTCAGGTGGGTATGTAATGACGAAGTCAATGACGTAATCACTTCCACTGTGAGATACACCAAGGTGTGTGAACGTGGTTGAGCCACCAGTGTAGGGAACAGTGACGTTGTTGATGGTGGTCCCTCTGGCGTCTCCCGTACCAGAACGCACCGTGGCTGTCACTTGCCATGGCAATGCCACCGTACCAAGTTGTTGAACTACATCACCCTGGAAAATGGTACATGTAGAATAAGTTTTAATGGACAGAAGTTCTCTGAAAATTTAAATTTCATGGAGAGAGCCTGATCCAACAGAGATATGCCTATAATGATGTCCACCTTCAACATCATAATTACCCAACTGCTAAAAGATCTTTCTACTTAATATTTCAATATTTTTCTTAATATTAGAATGGATCATATATAATTGTTCAATTATTCTTTTAAAGGTATAAGACACATAATTATTTTATCATCTCATCCATGTAAGTCTTTTTTTATTAAAAATTGATTTATCTATTTAAAAAATACTCACATTGCTGTCCAGCATCCTAATTACAGGCTGCGTCGTGAAGCCCGTCCCCTCATGCAAAGGCACGAGCTCTGTCACCATTTCAAGCCTGGATGGAATCTGTATCGGGGAGGTCAATTCCGTAGAATTCAGAACCTGTTGCCATACTGGATCATCAGAAGGTGGCAGAGGCTCTTTCACAGAGACGTTAAGAACGGTGAGGTTGATGGCATCTCCAAACGTCCCCAGCTGCACTGCGTTGTACAAGGTGGCTGTCAGGTTGGTGAGCTGGCTGTATGGCGTTACTTTCATCTCCGTAGTATTTGTGGTTCCGTTGGTCATGAAGTCTCCAATTTCGATATCGAAAATGACCTCACCGGTTGTAGAGCGTTTTCTGCGTTTCTTGCTTTCTGCAACAATGTTGGCTATGCGGACTTTGTCCTGTGGTATGTTCAGGAAAGATGCTATGTTGCTGACAATCTGGGCACCAAAGAAGTCCGGTACTGGCAGAGGCACTTGTGAAGCACCGACAGTCAGCATGATAAACTGAGATGTTTCAATATCAATGACAGCGTCCCCTTTAAGAAGAACATACAGCAATTTAGGACCTTCCTCAAAAAAGTTATCCCCACTTTCTCCATCGGCAATGCTTGGGTAAAACTCTCCGGTATAGGTAGGATTCAGTGTGATCTCACGATCCTTGGAGTCATACCGTGCATTGGTTGGTCGTTTGTAAACCCCGTTGGAATTTACGAGCAGCCGTTCTGGCTTCTGGTAGTGAATAGCCAAACGCACCACATCCGTAGGTTTGCTGTTCATGATCCGTAGGCGAAGTGACTGGGGGGAAGTACTGGTGAAATGGACTTCATAGTGTAAGCCTGGAATTGTGTTTAAAAAATTTAATAAAATATGAAAAGTAAAAAAATAACTTAATATTACTTTAGCAGGTATTGGGCGAGGAGTTTGATGAAAAATATTACGTAAGTTCAGAAATCTAAACTTAGCGAAATTCTTATTGTATACATGTACAGACTGAGTTTATTATTCAAAATACAACAGAGCTATAGCTAGCAATCATCATAAAACTAAGTGGCAGACAATTCTATACATACGAAGGTCTACAACACATTTTATGGTACCACAATACAGTCCATGAGCTCTTACCCATGGCCACAATAGCATGGAAAGTAGACAAACGCTTCTGACACGTGTACCCAGCACACCAGCCGTGGTCCTGTGGCCCATTGTACAGGTCAAGGTAGCCCCCGCCAAGTAACGCCACGGGGGACAGTCTTCTGGTCTCAAAGTCAGCGTCCATGCTCTCCATAATTAAGAACTGGTAGTCGATGTCATGACACGTGAATGCTCGCATCACAGAATTGTACGTGCAGTTGCCCGTCTCCACTCCCGATATTCCTGATAGCAGAATATATACGTTCTTAATTCAGATTCAATATGTGACATTTGTTCATGTGTTTTATTCTTTCTGTAAGCTAGTTTATTTTTAATAGATACTTCATGTGTATACATATATCATGCAAATTAAACCAAACAGCCATAAGCAAGAGTGTTACACCTTATTGGCATGGAGAATTTAATCAATTTACTTGACCAGGAGTTTTAAGATAAATTCATTGTAAATCCGTTATCGAGTTTTGGCACTATAGTAATATATATATTTATATATATACAAAGACATAAATAAGCAAAGATATGTACCCTTGTGTGGAGCTATCTGATTAACTGGGATTCGTGAGCCGTCCAGCGCCGTCAAAAGTGTCTTGGGGATACGATAATCACCAAGGCCGACTACAGGGTTGCCGTCCCATTCCCAGGATGAATTTGGAACAATGGCGCCAAAAGACCCAGTGCCGCCTACGAAGCCATTATCAGTGTCTTTCAATAGGAGATTCTTTTGAGCATCGCAGATCAGGTCAACGCAGTCAGCTGGGTTCACCGCCCTAGAAAACATTTTGGGAGATGTTATGACTTCTGGTACTTGAAAATAGGCACCAGAATAATGAGGTGAAAGATGATGGAGTTCTAAATGAAACTAAAAAGAAATAGATCAATTTGCTGAAAAAATGTTATATTCCGATATGGGCGTAATGCATATTTGTACTAAAAAATTGTTATTCCCATATGGGCATGCATATTATTTACATTGTATTGTAAAGTTAAAACATGACTGTAAAAGACTCTGTGTGTGTGTGTGTGTGTGTTTATTTGTTTGAGAGAAAGAGAGAGAGAGAGAGAGAAAGGGGGAAGGAAAGTCTTACTCTAGATTTGGTTCTCCATAGTAAACATGGTGGCCTACATCCACTGACACTGTTGTTGTTTGTGACATAATCAAAGGATGCAGGAGGTCCTCATTGTTGAATGTGTCAGTGATGGCAAAGCTGGGCTTATTTGAACCACACTTGGTACCAAAGTGAGCAAAGGTGTTCCCTAAAATTTATATCATATATCAGTCTATTGTCATATATATGTGGTGCATGCGTAAAGTTATCAACCTTTCAAATCTCATCTCTGGTTTGGGGAATTGAATTTTATTCTAATTCAATTTTTTTTTACTTATTTACTTATCTTTAATTGAAAGATTATGTTTTTGCATTTGCAGCACACATCAGATGCACTTAATGCTGATTCTGGTGTCAAATGCATATCACAATGAAATATTTATGAAGCTCATTTATCTCACACTTTCTAATATTAACATTAAAACAGAGCAATTTATGGGATTGTTATTAAAATAACATCATTAAGTGCACTTTGCAACACAGATACAGATGTTTAAAAATGAGAGGAAAAGAAAGATAGAAAGAGAAAAATGTCAAACCTTTCTCTTTGGATACAGGTATTTATAAATGGAAGAGAGAGAGCCAGCGATAGATGGGGAATTCAAAGTACCTAACTTCCTAATTATTGCTTCAGATATAGATATTTAAAAATGGAAGAGAGAGAGTTAACTTAGAGAGAGAAAGAGAGAGAAAGAATTCAAAGTATCGTACCTGTAGCTTCAGTGTGACCACACACAGCTGGATAGGCCATGCTGTTAGTCCACTTTTTTCTTGGGGCTTCGTTATCTCCTTCATGGAAGTTACCAAACATCATTCCAGCGACCTTACCAAAAGAGGAGCTCCAGTCTTTGCTCTGACCTATGGATCTACACAACAAAAATAATGAGAAGATACGGCACCAACTTTATATGTATGATAACCAATCCAAATACATGTCATGTACAGGAGAAGATTTATAATATTTTTGGGAAAGAAAGACCATGTTCCTTTTTATAGGCAAATTATATATGCAAAGGTCCTATTCATCCAAGAAAGTCCAATTAAAGAGAGAGTTTGTTCAGGTAGACACACTTTATATAAATAACTTAAGGTAACATTAATTTTTGAAAACTTCAAACAAAAGTTTTAGATTAAAATTTAAAAGTTCTATAATTATAGTATGGTATATATTATAACAGTTTAGTTGAAACTGCAGTTGTGCTTAATATTTTTTTAAAAGTGTAAGGTAATTAGTAAGAAATTTCAAACACCTCAAATATTTTCAATCTTGTTTTTTCATGATTTACAGTCAAGCTAATTACTCGAATATGGACTTTCTAAAACTGTTCTATCAACAATTTAAGAACCAGTTTAACCCACAAATAAAATTGTTTTAGTGAAAATTCACCATTTGAGTTGGTTCCAAAATTAATGAGTAATTACCGTATGCTTTATTTACCTTGCCTGATTACTGATCTTGTAACTGGAGACAGTTGTGTCAGGCCTTCTGCTGTCAGAGCAGTCAAAGTCAGGACTGTTGCCCACAAACAGAGAGCCGTTCACCAAAATCTTGCGATTTTCACAAATGTGATCCACTGCGCTGGGTCCCACCACTATGCTCATCAAACCCAGGGTGTTGTCAATTGACCGGTAGCCTGTTTAATATAATATAATATAATATAATATAATATAATATAATATAATATAATATAATATAATATAATATG